TTTTGTTTCATTATGGCTTAAATGTAATGAAAATCCCAAATAAGGGGAGGATCATTAAAACAGAATATCAGGCTCTCAATCAGTACTTGGCTCAGTGCAAAAATTAACTATGAAGCAAATCAATTTCTCTTGAAATTAATGACTTTTTTCTTGATATGAACAAGTTAGTGAAGCAATTTACGGATGGAGGAAGATGATTTTTGTAAAAAATATTGAATAGAAAAGAGAAAAAACTTATTACCAGTGCATAACGTTATATTATTTTATTCAGATGGTACGAACACCCATTAATGTGGAAAATTATTTTATTTATCCGTTCCAATCAAAGTCAAACATAATTAATTAAAGGAATTTATGTTTAGATCAGCTTTTGCAGTCTCCGTTTGCTTGATTTACTGCATCAGTGTGGTATAAAGGAGACCAGCCAGTGGTTTTGCTGAGGCTTTTATTTTGAAATATCCCAATTTTCTAAGAAATTGCAGGTTCTTATTATCTGTTATCTAAAATCACCAAAATTATAATCAGTTTACTTGATTTTTTTTACTTATTCTTACTTAGTCATTTACTTACTGTACCAGTTTATACTTAGTTACCCACTGATCTTTGTTCCTAGCTGCTTTAGTCAATTTCTTGGTTACTTTATGTTTTTATTTTTTTAGAGATCATGTTCCTATTTATTTATGCACAACTCTACTTTCTAATTGAGAATATTAGATAGCTACTTATGAATTTAGCTACCTAGCAATTTACATAGTTGTTGACTTATTTTCTTCGATGTTAATTTGCATGTTTAGACAGATTGAAGAGTGAATTTGAGCATGTTCATTATCAAACAACAAACTTTGCACACAAGTGGAATAAAGTCACAACTTCTGTTGAAATTGTAACAGTTATTATTGTTTCCTTGCTTGTATTGTTTGTTAGTTTTCTGGATTAAACTTTGCTATAATTTTTTGTAATTAAAAGATATCAAACTATATTTTGTATTTTCATTATCTGCATGCATTAATTTATCAGCGTTACAAGAAACAAAGCCTTGAAATGTATTTTCGTTTTGCTGTGATATAATTTTACTTTATTAAATGAGTGACAAAAACATTTAACTTTTATATGATTTATTTTTTTAGATGTAATGGTTTCCCCACTGTGATGCAAACTCATATGTCCAATACACTATTTAAAAAATATTCTACATATTTCACATTTTACTACTTATCAATTTAGTTAAAGAAAAGGTCAATTTAGCAATTAAGTAGGTTATTTGACTCCTGTCTTCTAAAATTGTAGGCAGCAGTTCACTGTTAATCCAGCATTTGCGGTTGAAAAAACAAGTTTTGTATAGATGTTAAATTTTTAAGGGGTAACGTTAGCATAATGTTGATGTTTTCAGCCTGGACGGTCCTGGGTTTCAAACTGTAAGAAGTTCGACTGCTCCGACACTTCATTCGGGCCAACCCTCATCTCCTACTCCTACAGCTGCCCCCCTTTCAATGAAACGTTGGAATATTCTGATCTACCTGTTTTGAACCAACATAAATATGAGTGATAAACTAAAATAACCTAACTTGTTCA